TGGCAAATGAATGGGAAAAATGTCACTGATGGTGTGGCAACAGATGAAGCTGCGCGTGAAGGAAAAGATGACAACAACCAGACCGTGTACAAAATCACCAGCAGGCTGAGAGTCTATGCCAAACAATGGGAAAATCCTGACAATACCTTTAAATGCGTTGTCAATTTCTTCAATGGCACTGTACATAAAGATTATTCAGAAGTTATTGACGGAGTTACGGGTAAATTCTTGTGGAACTTAATCGTTTTGCTCTTATATGCACATATTATATGCAAATCTTTTAATATTTCAGTCATCTGTTGTGAACTAATAATTTCTTCTTTTTTTCAAACAGCTGAGACAAATTCTATGTCAAGAGGTAAATATTATAGATTATTCCTTCAGTGAATCAGTTCTAGCATGATTGTCATCACTTGGAAATATAGAAGCTGTGTTGTATCACTAAATATTTCTTATTTACAGAGAAGTATTTGACAACTACACAAAATTTCAAGGTCGTCTACAGCGTGCTTACTGTCAAGAGCTGTGCCTATGGAGCTTTTGTTGGATTTTTGGTGTGGAAGCTTCAGGTTTGTCCAAATCTTGTCCAAAAAAAAATTGTCTCTCTCTATAATAACAGTAACACAAATGACTTATTACTCTCTGCGTTCTTTCTATGTTTCGCAGCGTTTTGGTGGAAAGCAGAAGTACTGAGAGCTGAGCTGAAGCCTCAAAAAATAACTCTGGGACATGAGTTACCTTGCTCTCTGTAAATATCATTCAAACAGTCTATTGTTAAAGTGCACACTGTTAATCGCCTGTTCAAGTTCTGCTGTGGATTTTTATGTGCTTATTTGTCTTTATATAATTAATAACTGCCTTTCAAATAGACTGATGTCAATTTTCTTTAGACACAAAGAGATTTCTGTTTGTAACTTCATTTTCTTCTTAATAAAAGTATCTTAGATTATTTTAAAGCTGTGTTGTTCTTGTGTAGTTTGCCCTGGAAATACTTTTTAAAGCTGTGAATCAGTCTTCATATCATAATATCAAACACTATTACTTAATTTGAAAAAGATAGGATGAGACAGGTGAATAATAATGTGTCATTTGAACAAACTTGTGAAGAATATCATCGCCTTTCTCTGGTTTTACATCTCAAGTTTTTCCAGAGATACTGTAAAATGTATTTTTCATCAACTAGCCTGTTTTCTGAGAAGTCGTCTATTTTCTCCCCCATAATCTTGAAACATCTCACCTCAGGAGAACTTCTTAAGATGGTTAATTTTACTCATAACAGGATTTTCCATTCAGAAAACCGATGACTAAAAAGTGTCTGTTAAAATTTACTAGTAAATTTAAATTTCATCCAGTAATTTTCATTACTTTTCTTGGAAATCAATTCACTTTTTGAGTCACCTTTTCCACAAACACAAACAGTGTGTGACAACATGCATTCCTTTCTTAAACAAAGAATATCTTTCTTTAGTTCAAACACTCTCTGTAGCAAAATAAGAACACGAGTCTAACCCATAACAGGAAATCAGCATTTCATCTGTGTACTGAAGAAGGTCAAAGCTGCTGTGGGTGAGAAAGATAAACCAGGGCATGAAACCCTGCAGAGGAGAGTGCAACAGCAGAGGAGAGGATGTGGTCGCAGAGCAGCCTGCAGCTCGCTCTCTGTGCTGAGAAACGGCGGAGGTGCAACCTTCACTTTACCACAACCTCCGGCTCGCTGTGTGCACCTGCAACTTTGCACCGACCCCCCCGCTCTGCACATCTATGAGCAAACAGATGGAAACTTCCATTTCTGTGTCAACTGAAGTTACGCATTGTACAAAGACAATGTCATACATTATGCAAAAGCTGTTTGCAGTGATCTGGCACAACATTTTGCACCAGATAAAATCAGACTTTGGGGAAGCCACAGAACTTCAGGCAAATATCAGCAGCTCATTTAAAAACATAACTGACAGAGTTTAAATGTACACATGTGTATATAACTATAAGATAAAGGTTTGTGTGGGACTGCATTCAAAAGATAATCTGGCCTTTTTACAGGACTCAGTTCAAACCGTCACATTCTGCTTTCCCTGGTTGCTTCCTTGAAAAACATGTTTTCTTGTCCTGAAGTCAAATAAACAGGAAGCGTAGTCTTTGAAGCAGCA